TATGTTTTGCCTCTGGTCATGGACCACTGTAGATGCCCTTCACTATGATAATGTGAAAATGGGCTCTCACTTCACTTTCTTATTTGGCTGTGGCTTTCTAGATTCTATGCTTGCTTGGTTGCCAGATTTGTGATGGACTATCGCGTCTCCAATGCCCGTTGCTGAGAACTACATCTATTGTTCAAGGTCGATTGGTCATGAATATTACCAATGTGCTTTGGTGGAATTGCTTGGTTTCTTCTCTAACAGAACTTTTATCTTTCCTCTTTTTTTTTTTTTATTGGCTTACTATACTATAAAAATACTAATTATATACTTTTTTTAATTTTTCTGACACCTTCTTTTAAAAATATATGAAAAATGTGTGAACTATGCTTATGATAATAATTTTAGTATGAGAGTTATTTTTCGTTCACGATTCCAAATTCATCTAATGTTATATAACTCATAATATATCACCATGAATTATAGTCTATATAGGATGACATGTGGTCAAATATTAGAATTTCCTTCTAACGGATAACTTGTCGCCATTAATCCTATTTGATTTCAAAAAGAAATTTCCGACAATGCAAACCTAAATCAATATATGAAAATCCCTAATCTTCTTCTTTTCTCTTCTCTCGCTTTGTCAAAGTATAAGATCAAGAATTATAATTTGTTTACCATTTTGCCCTTTTCTTTTGTTTCCTTCATTATGCCATCGCTTGATGGTTCTATCAATCTCTTTTCTTTTTCTTTTATTCTTTAATCTCTTGTTATATTTCTATTTGAGATGGTAGCTAAAGAGGTACAACAAGACAAGAGGCAACAAGACGAAAGAAATAAAGATAGAGCGAAAGAAAAGCAAAGAAATTTTTTGTTAGGAAGGAAGCCTCTATTTTTCTTTGGGATTCTGGTTCTAGAGAGAGAAAATGAGGAGAGAAAGAAAAACAGAGGAATAGATTTTAAAGACAGGACATTGCTAGAAAAAAACAAAAAAGAAAAACTAAGGTAGGATGCATTATTTCAATAATTATTTTGTATTATCTTTGTCCAATTTTCATTTTGGAGCATGGGACGAGGGATCTAGTGGTTAAGTATTAGCTGAATAGGATTCCATCATAATCCGGCATTAATGTTACGAGTCGGATGAATCATTTGGTCAATACGTTTTAATTCTATTGTTATTTGGGTTGCATCTCAAGGTAGTAAGAACGAGTTTTAAGTTTAAATCATAGTTGTTAAATCACGGTTGTGTTGCTTTCGAGTGTATGATTGAGCTAAAACATTAGCATTTGGTTATTTGTTAAATCAACTTTTTTCATGGAAAGCTTTTTACTCTTTTCATATGAAGAAATGGGTAATGGTTAAAGATTTGTGGGGAAGAAGAATGGGTACTACTTGAAGATTTATGGAGAGAGGAATGGGTTCTTATTCTTCGAGCAAAGAAAATAAGATTATGGATTTTTATGTATTGATTTAGATTTGTATTATGAGAAATTTGTTTTTGAAATCAAATAGAATTAATGGGCGACATGTTGTCCATAAGAAAAAAATTTTAATTTTTGACCACATGTTATCCTATGTCGATTTTCATCCAAGGTATCATCTTATGTGTTAAGGTATCATCTTATGTGTCATACCACGTCGGATGAATTCGAAATCTTAAATGAAAAATGGCTATTGAGCCAAAATTGTTATTAAAAGCATAATTCATGTATTTTTCACACACTTTTAAAAGAACATGCCATGAAAATTATAAGATGTATAGTTTATACTTTTATGATATAATAAGCCTTGTTTATTTTAGCTAGGCTCTTAGGTTAAAACAAAATACAAAGAGCAAGATTGACCCTTAGTCCCCAAGTATATCTCATGTGTAGCACAAAGACAAAAGAAATGACCAAAGATTTACTATTCAAAAGAAACAAAAAATTCAAACTCTATTGAGATTGAGCATAACAGAACTATTTATCATTTGCAAAGTTCTTCCTCCCGATTTGTGTTCATTTCAAAAACAAGTTAACAAAACAAACTCTTCTAGATCATTCTTGATTTTTCTGAAAAGTGCATACCTAATGCCGCTTCTAATGATGCTCTTTTAGGCTTCTAGCACAAGAAATAATATAACTCTCACCATAATAAAAACTTACATGGCTGACATAACTAAACTATTACCGAAATCAATACTATAAATATCACTATGAAAACATGCTTAAAGTTGATTGGTGTCGTTGTCGATTCGTTTTTGTCGATGGCTTTATTAATTTTGAATTTATTATAATATGTTTTATGTCATCTTCAATCAGTTTAGTTGATGGACTTATAAAAAAGTGATTTGTATGAACTTCAATTAGTTTTGTTGATGAATTTATATAAATAGTTTTTGCAACGTCTTCAACTAGTTTTGTTGACAAATTTGTTAAAAAGTGATTTATGTCATCTTTGACTAGTTTCATTGATGAATTTATAAAAATGTGTTTTGCATCATATTTTATCAGTTTTATTGATGAATTTATGAAATTGTGATCTACTTTGTCTTTGACCAATTTCGTTGACGAATTTATAAAAATAGTTTTTGCGTCATCTTCGATGAGTTTAGTTGATAAATTTGTAAAAATGTGATTTAAATTGTCTTTGATCAATTTTTTTGATGTATTTATAAAATTATATTTTATGTCATCCTCGATCAGTTTTGTTGATGAATTTGTAAAAATAAGATTTGATTTGTTTTTACTAGTTTTGTTGATGAATTTACAAAAATAGTTTTCACATTTTCTTTGACGAGTTTAGTTGACAAATTTATAAAAATATGATTTATATTGTCTTGGATCATTTTTTTATGAATTTATAAAAATATATTTTTGTATCACCTTCAATCAGTTTCGTTGATGAATTTATGAAAATATGTTTTGTGTCATCTTTGACTAATTTCGGTGACGGATTTGTAAAAATGTGTTTCTGTCTTCTTCGACAAGTTTTGTTGACAAATTTATGAAATTTTGCGACTTCTCTTAAAAGTAAATACCACAAACCAGATCGTGCAGCTGAAAAGCAACCAAACAAATAAAGAAAACGAAGATAAAGATCAAAGATTATGCCATTATATCTTCATAAAAAATAAACCGTCGATACTGTCTCATCCTTCAGTTGCAAACACTAAAATCAAAAGGCATAACATAACAAAAACTTTTGTTTTGTTGGTCTAAGAAATATCCTTTGGGACTAGATTGGATTTGAAGGGCTGGACATAAAGCACGACTGGACCTGGCTAGGCTAGGATTCCAAGAGAAAAAAAATACAAATAACTCACACCCACGTCCTTCGACTTCATCGCTATGAAAACTAATTTCGAACCACAACCAGTTGCCCGTCCTTACTTTTTCACCAATGCCACTACGTAGGACTATAAATCTCATCATCAACCACAACCCTCGTTTAAGCAAACACATCTGTCTAAGCTTCCATTCCATGCCAAGAGGATGACGGCCATTCCCAAGATGGTGATTAATTCAAACTCTTACTAAGACTATATCAATAAAAGAAGCTGATAAGAATAGCCCAAGACAAATAAGACAGCCAAGCGAAGGATGTTTCTTATTCAATGACAACCTAGCGTAAAATCTAACTTTATAGTAGAAGACACTGGTAACAGAAATCAAACTTTATATTAGAGCAAACTGCTAGCAGCTGACCAACATTGAAATTGCTCAAATCCCTTCTTTGCATCTTATGTTTGTGGACCTCAAAACAAGTGGTGTTCAAGCCTCAAAAAATTAAACGAAGGTAATCACATAACTTTGTTAAAAAAAAAAAAAACATTGTGAACAATCTCAGTTTAACGTACCAAATGTTGAAAATTAGCCTTTGTATTGTTTATTTTTCTTCTGCTGTTAGTGTTCGACAACTTTAAACTCCTTCAGGCATTCTTTCCCATTAACTCCTTTATTGAATGCAGAAGAAAAGAGATGGATCTTGTGAATTCGACGAAATATTGCAGCTGGATTCTTCTATTAATATGATATCAAAGAAACAATAAACAGTCCGATCCCAAAATTTCATAACCAGGTAAAATTGGAAATGAAAACCGAATGATTATACCATCTAGAAAATATCATCATATTTGATTTCAATACTCATGATTTTACGTATTCACGCAAATTTCGAAAATAAAACAAAACCCAAACTGAATCACTACATAATAAATTAAAGAGAACTACATAAAAGGTATCTCCAGTTCCTAGTTGAAGCTAGATGGATGGCTAGATCAGCTTAAACTTGTTCATTGGGACAATTGCAAGAAACACTGTTGGCCAAGTATGTAAGATTCTCATCCCACCCAAGATCACAACAATCTTAACGCGTTGGACAAAGATTTTCTGTAGGAGCAAGCAAGAATTATCAATGCTCCTGTTATAAACCCCAACATGAATGCTAGACCAACAAAGACGTAAGCAATGGTTGAATTCCAATGCCAGAACTATTGTCATATCAATGGAACAGTACCTATTACCAAGGCCTCTTTTCCAACAAGTCCCAAGTCCCTCTCTTTTTTGAGTTGCCAGAATTATTATCATATTAATGGAACAATCAAATCCAATTTTCCCACCAAAAGAACCAAGAGAACCTCTATTCGACCAACTTCGGTGGAATTGCTCGATTTCTTCTCTAATAAAACTTTTACCTTTCCTCTTTTCTCATTTTAGTCATGCTCTTGGGTTAAAAACAAAATATAAACAAGATTGACCCTTAGTCCCCCCCAGTAAATCTCCTGTGTGGCGCACAGACAAAAAGAATGACCAAAGATTTACTGTTCAAAAAAAAATTTATTGAGATTGAACAAAACAGAACTATTTATCATTTCCGAAGTTCTTCCTCCTGATTTCTGTTCGTTACAGAAAAACAAGTTAGCAAAACAAACTCTTCTTGGTAATTTTTGAATTGTCTGAAAAGTGTATACCTAATGCTGCTTCTAATGCTGCTCTTTTAGGCTTCTAGCACAAGAAGTAATATAGCTGTCACCATAATGGAAGCCTCTGTGGCTGACACCAGTAAACTATTGCTGAAATCAATAATATAAACATCACCATGAAAACATGCTTAAAGTTTAGCAGTCCTGCATCTATTCTTCTCACGGTCTCAAGCTCGGATATGGAATCTGCAGGTGCCACTTTAGTTTCACTAGCAGGTCCATTTTTCTGGGCCTCGTCCAACTGTAAACAGGAAAGGATGTAAAGAGAGGAATTTAGAACCCAACACTCCTCCATGACACAAGTTATAGTAATTGCAGTAGATGCAGAAAGATGCGAAAAGAATTCGAAAGGGAGCATTAGGAAGAAGGGAAGTCTTCCAAAAAATTTGACACCACGAATTTTGATTCCTTTTGCAACTTGCTATTAATGCCTTCTACATTTTATGAGGCTCGGATTAGGGTCGAAGGAATGGAGATTGCGATGTTTCTAAACTAAGTGTTCAAACCAAGGACTTGAATGTTGTTCTTAATTGTTTGATAAAACAGGAGTTCGTGTAGCAAAGTAAATAATGTTCAAAGTAAGGACTTGAATGTTGTACAAAAACACAACAGACCCAAAAAGTAGAACTTATTCCTTAAAAAAAAAAATGGTAATTTAGTCAGTATTTAAAACTCTTGAAACAAACAAAATAGTTTATATGCAGGAAAAGAAAGATTTGGTCTTCTCCACTTCAAAGAATTATCATGAATGCCAACTTATTCAGAATATAGCCGCTAATACTCACCTCAGAAATAGTAGCTGAGAATTTGGTTGCATCATGGTCAGGGGACAAGAACTTTTCACCACTTCCTTTGTTATGATACTTGATATCTACAAAGGCATCTTTACTTGTCTTCTGTAACTTCACCACCAGAGTTTGATTCTGCAGTGCTAATGATGCTATCTGCATATCCCGCAACCACATCAGCAAAAACCTGAGCGAAAATTTCTCATAATAGCAAACTCATACAGCATGGAATTCTTGAAATTTTCTGCATAGTAATGAAGGTCAAGAACTTCAAAAACTAAATCTCAAGCAACAACAACAACTATATGTGGTCAAAAAAGTATGCTTGCCTTTGTAGCTTCTGTTGTAAACACTAATTTCCATGGTGAAATATTATCAGATTTATCACACAAAAAAAATAGAATAGAATATGCTCGGTATGCTATCTTGAGAGTGCTATGAAAAGCATGTGAGGACAAACGTCAGATCACTATCTTCTCACTTCTCGAAAGGGAATATAGTAAATAATGAAGAAATAATAATAAACTCTGTCAAATAACTGACCTGAGTGATTCATCTTCATTCATTCCTCTCTCTGCAAGGCACCTTGCTTCTAATCTTGCATCTAGCATTCTAGACTTATGACATTTTACTTTGATAAGAGTTATTGTCAAAATTTACTTTCCCTCCGTCGCTTTGAAGTATGAGGTTTGAGTTATCAATTACCCATTGTTCTACCAATACGCTTTTGACCTAGTAGCATCAACCTCCTGCATCATGCAAGAGGTTGTGGGTTTGACTACTAGTACGGGAATGGAACCTCTGCCCTTCCCCCAGCTGGAAAGGCCAAAAACAATTACTCATTGTTGTTCTTTTTTTCCCTTTTTTTTTTTTTTTTTTTCAGGGTTCTGATTATTGCTCCATTTAGTTGATCTTCTGTTCATAGACTAGGGATTGTTATCTTCCCTAATTTCTTGTTCATTAAACCTAACTAAATTTTCTTCAAAATTATAAGTTCTATCGAGGGTTTAATATCCCTGTGGGGGGCATCCATGTGCAAAATGGCAGCTTTATTTATATGTGTTGGGTTGAAGAGAGATAAACAGAATACTAGGAGTAATTATTTGATGAACTTCAAGAAATACAACGACATAATTCATTAGTGGTCTATTGCCTTTGAAATTTTAATTTTCTTTGATACCTAAATATGAAAATTCAAAATTAACATAAAAAAAAAAAAATGAAAGAAAAAGCCAAGCAACAGATTGAGATGACAAAGAGGGCAATAGAAATACCAGCATTCTGTTGCTAAAAGTTAATTTCAGACAAGATCGTGATCAGCTGAAATTAGATATAAGAAAAGTATGCACCTGTTTATGAAGGCGCTCTCTTTCAATGGCGAGCTGCATCACCAAATCTGTTATTACTTTAGTCTGAAAGCAGATATCTTTTGCGGTTGCCATTTTTGTTTCCTCTGCTCGATTCAAAGAAGCCTCCAAGCATTCAAGTCGACCCCTTAAGAAACTCAATTCTTCATTTAGATCTGCATTAGTTTCAGATAATATGATGCACTTATCCTCCACACTGTCTGCCCGGCTTTCAGCTTTCGAAACGTTTGACTTCAAGCCCTCAATTAAATTTTCCATATCTCTAATTGTAGCATGCAACATACTTTGCTTCTCCTGACTGGCTTCAGCAGATGCCACTGCATGTTGGAGCATAAAATCGGATTCCCTCATCTGTCTCTCCAATGAATCAACCTTCTCAGAAGTGTCTTTAAGATGACCCAACTCCTCATTAAGTTTCGTATTAGTCTCTTCCAATAAGTTTAACTTGGCTTCTGCATTGTCTGCCCTACTTTCTGCTTTAGATAGTTTTTCTTTCACGTCATCAATTACATTTTCCATTCCTTTGATTTCAGAAAGCGAAGCATCATGCTGCTCCTGAGTTCCATCCACAGATACCTTTGCACTCGACAGCTGAAATTCAGATTCTCTCAGCTGGTTTTCAAGTGAAGTCACTTTCTCCCTCAAAGTGAAGGCCTCAGAATTAGCAAGGACTAAATTATTTTCAGCTTCTGACAAGCTTGTTTTTAAGCTATCAGTCTGTGCTACAAGCAGACTGAGTTTTGTATTGCTGCTATCTAACTTTTGCAAAGCAATTTCTTTGGCTTCCTGCTGCTCAATAGAATTTTCAAGCTTTGATCTTAACTCAGCTTCTCTCTGAATAGAACCGTTCAAATTTAAATGGAATAATTGGAGCCGACCCAGTAGTTCTTTTGAAATTCCCATCAAAACCTCAGCAGCATTTTCTGATCCAAACCATTTTTCACAAATATCCATCATTTCTTCCTCCATGAAGAGTACTTCTTGCTCCATAGAGAGTACTCTATCTTTCAGCTCTTCTTCAAGTTGTCTTGATTCAGTTAGGTTCTTTTCAAGGTCCATCTCTCTTGCCAAAGACTTCTCCAGCATCCTCAAGAAATGCCTTTGTTGTTCTGCAGTTTTCATGTTGATCTTTGAACTCATGCTTGACAGTTGGTCATCTTCTAAGAAGTTTGATCCCTTGTCAGCATTCCCTGTCAAAATGCATGCATAAGAATTTGAAGGAAATAAATTACAACCTGTAAGTAATTTATCTTTCCTCCTTGCCAAAGTTCAAAACAATTATAAAAAAAGACAACTTTTTGTTTGATTGTCAAACATCTGTTTCATAAGCAGCAAAATTAGCCTGTCAAGTACAAAAATTCTCTGAAAACATTGTAACACATGCATAAATGCCCATATATCCATCACTCTCACCATCCTCCAAGCCCCAACCAGCACGCTGCACATAGACAGGCCGAGAGGACATCTGCATCACTTCATATTAATTAGATGACTTGAATGGTTCAAGAACAAGCATAATGGCCTGGGTTCATTTGCTAAATTCTGAGGCAGCCCACCATCAATGCAGACATGAATAAAATTGCCAAATTAGGTTAAATTAAATTAAATTACTGAGATCTATTATAGCTTACAATTTTCTTCTCCATGCAGACATGACAGTATCCTCTGAAACTTAGCAGATTGTGCCCTAATTTCTGAGACTTGATCTTGTGACTGCTTCAATGATTCTTGAGAATCATGCAGTTTTTCTTTCATTGCCATGAAAGTTTTCCCTGGTCCATTTGATGATATTATTTCACCAACCTCAACAATATCTGTTTGTATAGCTGTCATGAACTTATCCAATTCCATTGCCTCAGCAACCAAAATCCCGGACAAGAAATTGAATTCCAAAGCTTTCTCTACTGAATCAGCCAACACCTCATTAGATGAGGCAAAGGCTTCAATATCAGTTTCCTTGGTTGCCACGTGCATCATAAGCACACTTAAGTTAACCAACTTCTCTGCAACACAAGCCAAATCTAATTCAACTCTTGTCAGAATCCTGCCTGCAGTTTCTAATTCTCTACTTATGTCTCCATTAGAAGATGCCTCTACAACTATGTCAAGTTTACTTGATTCGACATCCGGATCACGAGTTCCAACATCGTCAAGAGAAACATTATCTTCGTGAACCGAATCGGTATCCATGTTTATCATACACTTGTCCTTCTGGCAGCCTAAAAACCTGAGTATCAGCCATTAAAATAATAAATAAAATTACAGGAATTGGTGTAGCCAGTAATAGGACAAGTATGGTTGGAACTAATGAGTATTGCTAAATCATAGCATTTAATAAGCTAGCAGGTACTGGGATAAGCATACAAATGGTGATCAATGCCCATTAAAATAGTAAATAAAAAAGAAAAGAAAAAAGATTGGTGCCAGTCACAAGACAAGTCAGAATGGCACTAATGAGTAATGATAAATGATAGCATTTCATCAGCTAACAGGTACTACGAGCAACAGCAGTGCACTACAAACATAAAAAAACTGCTTATTTTACTTCTACTTGAGCTATGGCAGAATCTTTTCGGGATTCGTTTCGACATAGCAACAAACATATGCTCCAAAGAAAATTGAGCAAGGCTCAAGCACAACTGATGAATTTCATGTCTAAAGAGATGAAACTTTAAGTAACGGTTTTCAAAATCACATCTTACAAGGCTAATCATTATCTCAGAGTCAAGTTATATGCACTTTACCATATCCAATTAAACCCCTCATAAAATAATATATGTAGACGCCTTTTATTACAAAGCTTGCAAGGAAAGGAATTATTTGTCACCAACTTAGGGTCAATATAAGAGAAGTACGTAGTGCTAAGAGATACACTATTGTCCCTCACCTGCACAGCTGCCACAATACTGCTCCTCTTTGTTCTATTCTCTTAGCAGCCGAATAGAACAAAGAGGAGCAGTTTTGTGGCAGCTGTGCGTGTGTATTTGCTATTTGGGAAGTACTATTTTTGGTATAAGTTGCGGTCTTACCATCTGGCAATTTTGAGATAGTTTTGGTTTGAAACTCTTGGGTGTGACTAGGTTTTGGGTTTGTGAGTGTGAGGAAGTTTCTTGAGAGAGCAGTAAACTCAACATTCTCAAAACCGTACTGCATCATTACAAATCCAACCTTAGTCCGAGAGCAAAACTAATGTCATTGTTCTCCTCTACACAATTAAAATAGTAGTACTGGGTCACAATCCAAAACAAACAACCAAGTCCAGCACTTATTCGTAAGGAAACAAAGTTATGATTTCCATATGTGGCAGCAAGGATGCAGCACTTAAATATCACAAAAATCCTCAGAGTAATAACATTCATGCATGCAACATTAGGAAATCTAATTCACAATGAACCTAAATCTAACTACAATAACCTCCATGATCCAAATCCCATTCTCAGCCAGTTCTCACTACACTGGATTACCCCCGATTCACGCAAACAAGACAATTGCACCAACCCCTCAAATTCCAGATTTGGTTATCGTTTAATTCCAAATTTGGCTAATGATCGATTCAATGAATAATAAAACATACCACCCTTGACAAAAAAAAACACACAGGACTTCTTGAATAATTCACGTTCATTAATTAATCCACATCACAGTCGCTTCCAAAAACAAAACAAACCAAAAGCTCTCTGATCTGAATATTTTGAAGAAAAGAAAATCCCAGTTTTACAATATTTAATCAGTCCATCTCCAATAAACAACCATTTTTCCATAAGTGTATTAAAAGAGAAAAAATAAAAACCCACATCAGATATTCAAAAAAAAAAAAAAAAGCTGACATCCCCACACAAGTTTCTTTCACTTTCTAGACAAGAAAAAACAAGAAAAAATACATCAAAATAAAAGAGATTATTCAAAGAACGTACTCTTTAGAGAGATGAAGCTGAGTTCTGTTGACAGGTAAAGAGTAAGTAGAGTAGAGCAAAGAAAGAATACAGTAGCGCCAATGAAAGTGGAAAACAGACTTATTCTTATTGATGTTTTTACTTGTTAATGATGTCAGTCTGTCTGTCTGTCTGTCTGTCTTCAAAGTAGAGTTTGAAGGCGGACAGGTCAATTAAAAACAAAAGTGTCCAGTTAATTCACTGCCGCATGTTAACGTTCCTTTAGGACTTGTTTACACCTGTCATGTTATTTTAAAAGACACGTGTTTTTTTCTTTTTTACACCTCTGTTAACTGTGATTAATACTTCCTGTTTTTAAAAACCCTTTAATCATTTTATAATTTTGGATAAAGATTTTGCTTTCAATGTGGTGTTCTATTCTCAAGTTCTCAACTAATGCTTCGTTGCTTTCTCTAATTTTTTTTATTTGCTTTTTCGATTGTGCGTATCTCAATGTTGAATAATTTCAATATTAAATTTTCAGAAGAGTATATTTATTTCTTAATTTCAATATTTTTTTAAAAATATACTATATTAGTATAAAAGAGATATCAATGAAATTATTAAAAGAAAAAACCCAATTTTAATTGACGTGCAAATTTTATGAAAATTAATACAAAATCTTTTAGACGTGAAACATAAAACAATGATCACCATTTTGGATTTTAATTAGAACAAACTTTGATAATAAAAAGAAAAAATCTAAAGGTGAAATAAGATTTTTATGGAAATTGGTTTGCTATGATTTTGATTTTGAATCTTAGATTCAGGAGATCAGTGAGATCTAATGTGTAATCATTGATCAAACTAGAGGTCAAGCTTTGTCTATTAAATTAAAAGGAAAATAAAAATCCACTAAAGCTATAGAAAAAAAAATTAGATAAAATATAAAATTGGGTGATAACAACCCTGACGTGGAGAAAAAAATTCTTGTTCATTCAAACTTTTTTATTATATCAAATAATGAAATACATAATTGTTCTTTAAACTCAACCAACTGATGCATATCAAAGCATTAAATTCGTCATCATACAAATGAACAATAACGATAAGACAAAAGACTAGACCTTATCAAATAGGTGTTTAAAAAATACTCGAAGATGAAAGATCAATACTGTTCAAGTCAAAGAGCTTGTTATCACAAATAATATATCAAAATTTTACCTTGATTGGATTTAAAATCACCATCCGATTAAGGCAATAAAGATGAGAAGCAATCGGTAAAGACTAAATAGCCTAAATAATTAAAAGTCAAAACCTAATAAATATGCTTTCAAGGTAATAACACATACCTATAAACATTTTTAGACACAGACAGACAAATCGTTCGAAATACTAATCCTAAATGACCTAAAAAGACAATATTGATCCACACACACCAATTATTTGTTTTCAGTGCAAACTGGGGAATTTTTTTCCTAATTTCACTCAACACGTATGCAAATATATTATTTATGTAGTATACTGCAAACATTTAATTTATTTTTTACATTAGAAAAAAAAATCATGCTTAACCCATAGAAAACTAAGAAAAGATCTAAAATATATATATACATATTATCAACATTAACAAAATTAGAAATACTTAATACACGACTGTGGCTGAGAGTTTTTATTGAGAGGAACTAGAATAATGCTCATGCTACACCGCGGTAAAATGAACGCTCAATGACAAACTATTCTTGTTTGTTTTCATAAAAAAGTAAGGAAGTTGGAAGGATTAGGAAGATTTGAACTTGATTTCTTTTGTTGTTTTGATTATAGATGATTGTTTTAAGGAAAAAAAAAAAAAACAAAACAAAACATAAATTTGAACGTGATAATAAGAAGAGTGTATACTAAGGTTTAATAACATCAATAAGACTTGAGCGACAAACCATAAAACACTTATAAAGAAAAAAGAAACATTTTGTCGATTATAGTCCATTGCTTCATTCATGTAAGTATATGTTTTCTTGTAATTAACAGTTATGTGAAACGCTTGAGGGAATGTTCGATAAATATGTTTTGTTTTAATATCCAAAAATCAAATGTTATTGCCTATAAGACAATATAAATGCAGTTATTTATCTGCATTTTTTATTAAATTGCAAGACAACAAAGAACCTAACCTAAGAATTAACGAAGCACAATCTTCCAAAAAGGACTAAAGCAATGTAATGAAAGCATTTAGCGACAGAGTATAGATTGAATCACCAGGCAGGCAATTTCGTGATAGGACCCTGGATTGAGCTTGATTTACAAACATTGAAGAATGAAAATCACAAATCAATCGCACATGTGTAATAATATTAATATGTTATTCGACCTCTGCATGGTGACAGCCAAAGCAAGAGAATTCATGGCTAAGATGCCAATACAATGATTATACATAAAATCTTCATCACCCATGGAACTCTATCTTCAAATCTTTCTCTGTCCCAGCACATAGCATATGGGAAAAGATCCTTGTATAGGATGCAGGAAAAAAAAACACAGAAGAAATAAGAGTCCGAAGTCTTGACTAAAAAGCTTGCGTAGGAAACCTAAATTGGATACTGAGCACCAGACTTGTGAAAAGACAACCAAATGGAAACCTTTCAAAACTGTTGACCAAATTACTTGGCCCTCACCACAGACATAAAAGCAGGGAATCTAACACAAATTTGGTTTATGAGGTTTTTGATGCGCATCCATAGTTGAGATAGTAGAGGATGGGCTGTAACTTGATAAATGGGGAACTGGTGGCTAGACTTTGTCATATATATTTTGTAAAAGTTGATTTTTCAGGCTAATTTAGCTTTCTTGTTGTGTTTTCAGATATTCAAATATGCAACACATCTAAATAATTTGATCATTTTGCAAGCAAACTCGTAATAGGAGTTTCAAATAAGAAAAGCATTTGGTGATGCAAAAAGCAAGCATAAGAAAAGGCTAAACCAACCTGGCATAGAAAAAAATAACAGCAATTGTGGAATGCAAGACATCACGTCTAAACACCTAGCAAAAGTAAAGCTGCAAACAAAATAGCTATAAGAAAGGAAAACCACGAAAACACATAGCATGAATTAAAAAATGCTTGAGAATGAAACGTCGAGTAACATATATAGCCTCAGCAGAGATGAAAAAGAAATATAAACTTCAGAAGGGAAAAGAACTATTTTAGATTAGACAAATACGAAATAAAGCATGTTTGAAAGGCTCCATGCACCCAGGAACCAGCAATCAGTGAAATGCAATAATAATTTTCTAATGTGATTTGGAACATATAATATTTTC